TGGCAGTATAAATTCCTGTTTACCTATCAAGATTCTTTTAATGAGGACAGAAAAGAAAGAAAATGCTTTTTTCAAGGCATATCCTCAATCTGGTATATGAAATATATATCTGGTATATAAAATGGCTCCACGTCCATCTGCTTCTTCAGGTTTTCTTTAAAAATATAGTGCAATGTTTGATTATGTACTTTACCTGAATCAGCTTCTTGTTTCTAATTTATGAAGAGCTTTAAATATCAACTGCTCTTTGGCAGTTCATTATGACATTATGTAATAATCTGAATTATTTTTGGCAATTATTTGGATTCTTTATTCTTTTTTTTTAATCTTAAAATATTAGCACATTCAGTTGTAGGTTCATGTAGCAAGGGTTTTACTAATAACTGAATGCAGTTATTGTACCTGGAGTTCAAAATCCACTTTCAAATGGCTTAGACATAACACAAATAAACTTAGTTACTCTAGGTAAAAATACAATATACAATCTTTTATTTTTCAATCATATTAATGTCTGTAGTCTAGATGCACTGTATCTTTAGTATCATATCTTCATAAATGTTTGCCAAGGACATAAAATTGGGAGGAGCCGTTGACACTCTCGAGGGCAGAGAGGCCCTGCAGAGGGATCTGGGCAAATGAGAGAGCTGGGCAACCACCAACCGGATGAAATTTAACAAGGGCAAGTGCCAGATTTTGCACCTGGGACAGGGCAACCCTGGGTGTACATACAGACTGGGGAACCAGAGGCTGGAGAGCAGCCCCGCGGAGAGGGATCTGGGGGTTCTGGTCGACGGCAAGTTGAACGTGAGCCAACAGTGCGCCCTGGCAGCCGGGAGGGCCAGCCGTGTCCTGGGGTGCATCAAGCACTGTATTGCCAGCCGCTCGAGGGAGGTGATTGTCCTGCTCTACTCTGCACTGGCGCGGCCTCATCTTGAGCGCTGTGTGCGGTTTTGGGCGCCACAGTACAAAAAGGATACGAAGCTACTAGAGAGTGTCCAGAGGAGAGCCATGAAGATAGTGAAGGGTTTAGAGGGGAAGCCGCATGAGGAGCGGCTGAAGTCACTTGGTCTGTTCAGCCTGGAGGAGACTGAGGGGAGACCTCATCATGGTCTACAGCTTCCTCACAAGGGGAAGAGGAGGGGCAGGCGCTGATCTCTTCTCCCTGGTGACCAGTGATAGAACCGGAGGGAACAGCAGGAAGATATGCCAGGGGAGGTTTAGCTTGGACATTAGGAAAAGGTTCTTCACCCAAAGGGTAGTCGAGCACTGGAACAGGCTCCCCAGTGAGGCAGTCACAGTGCCAAGCCTGACAATATTCAAGAAGCATTTGGACAATGCCCTCAGATATACGGTGTGAATTTTGGGGTTGTCTTATGGAGGGACAGGAGTTGGACTCGATGATCCTTGTGGGTCCCTTCCAAGTCAGGACATTCTAGGATTCTATATTTGACAAGTTCTTTCAAGTAACAACTTAGTGTATATAATGCCACATCTCAGATGATCTACACACTTTAAAAAAACTTATTGTTAAAAATAAGTTAATATTAACACTTATAAAACCAGAAGCTGGAAATATGTGAGGATGGGTAAATTGAGATGCGGAGAGGAAACTGCGGAATTGGGGATGCTTTTCTGAGAGGGGAACTCTGGGCTAAATACTTCCTTTCACATGTATGTAACCTGCAGTAATGCCAAATGGCATAATTTTTCAAAAATTAGGATTATATTTATGAAATATAACTGTTAACTTGCACAGCCAAGAAGTCTCTGTAGGTCTTCATACCCTTCATGTGAGGCTTGTTGTTGTGGTTCTTCAACCTTACACTCATGTATATGGCAAAAATGGGAGAGGAATTGTTTTTTTTAACTTTCTACTCAAAAATTAGTAATCCAGAAAACTACTTGAATCTTCCATGAAAGCTGCTGAAAATATGCAATGGGAATGTTTGTTTTGTTATACAGGACTCACTGTGTAGTTATGGCTATCAAAATAATGTTCCTTTCTGTCCACATCCATTACACCAGGAGAACAAAAGAACAATTGTACTGGGACAAGCAAAGAGTCTACCTAGCCCAGTATCCTGTCCTTGGCAACCAACACCTAGGAAGAGGATAAGATTAAAGTACTATATATGATACTATTGCAAAGTATCCTCGCAGGCTTCACTAACTCGCAGATTAGGGACTTCCACAAGTGATTTTGTCTTTGTATTTAGTAATCCATTATGGATTTCTCTGTCTGGAGAAACCTAGAAACTTTGTCCAGTTTCCCATTCCTTCTATCTTGACTGAATTCTCTGCTTGTGCTTTCATTTCATTTTTAACTCATCTCCTCTATTCTTACTTGTGAGTTCTCTGCATTGTGTTCTTTCTCAGTCATCTCTTTTCCAGCCTGAAGAATTCTAGTTTAATGTTAGCTCCCATATCTTGGATTCTTTTTCGTTGCCTTTATCTCAGTCTTCTGGTTTTGTTTTTTTTTTTTTATTTGTGGTGTTTGGGTTTTTATTGGGGGGGTGGGGTTATTTTTTTTAGGACAAGCGGTACCAGTGCTGTGCACAGCATTCAAGGTGCAGCTGCCCACAGGTCTACGAACTGGATGAGGTTCTCTGTTCCTTTCCTAATATGTCTAACAACTTGTTTTGAATATGACTGAGCATGAATCTCTGCCTTTAAGTCCTGTATTTAGCTGGTCTCATAACCTCAAGATCTCACATGCATGTCAGCTCAGAGTCCGTCACCTTCTAGAATGATCTTAATAAACTGGCTGGATATTGACCCAGCACACAAAATCTCCTCCCCATCACACCTCCATATGCTTCTTTACACTGAATTTTAAATTCAAATGCAAGGTACTGAGTGCTGATATCTGCTGATATCTGCTAATACCTGCTGCTGGGTATTATACAAGAAGGATGACTGAAAAAGTATAGAAACACCGACCGGATATTGCCATGGCACTGGCATGGTGCATGGACTGGTTCTTCAGTCATGCTCACTACATAATATCCAGCAGCACATAAAGCTGTAATCTAGGATTTTCTTATCCAGGCCAGTCTTCAAAGAAGAAGTGTGAATAACAGGACTGTCCTTAGTACAGATTTTTCAGTATGTGTTACTTTAAAGAGAAGATAAGTGGCAAGATTGGCATGCAGCATGCAGGATGGTAAAGTTTAAGAACTGCCCTTTGTTGCTGGTAGAACTCATTTTATGATAGCATATAGAGTTCAAGAGCAAGTTCAGTCCTAAGAAACCAATTTTATTGTGCAGAATTCCAGTGTGCCTTAAGAATGTAACTATTGATCCTGATCATCATTGCTATCAAAGTGGTTTTCTATATAGCCGTACCTATGCTGCAGGATGCCTTAAAGTTCAGGTCTAAGGTTTTGTGTTTCACTGGAATTTTTGTGGAAAGCTGTTGTTGAAAAGCTGAGGATGGGTTTGATATTTGTGTGATGGTAGATTGCTGCAGCACTGCAGCAGTTGCTTCACATTTTGATGTAGCAGTAGATGAGTGATTACTATATAGCTTTGAAAATGGGGAAGCAGGAAACTTTTCTACAAAATGTAGAAGTAAGCCTGACTCTCTTTCCATCCTTCCATCATAGCATAGTATCTGTCCCTGTGAAAAGTATTTTTCTATCTTCTATGGAATAAAAACCTTCAGCTCTGATCATGCAGCTTTCATCTCACTGTTTGCCCTGGTGTACACCCTTACAGATAGCAACACACACTGCAGAAAGTACTATGTTCATATATTTCTTCAGATCATAATGCAAACTGCTTACCTATATCAAGTAAACAGATGAATAAAGTAGTTTTTCTTAAATGTAGTTCTATAGCATGTTGTTACTGTTTAGTATTACGATACGCATGCTTACTACTGTTATCAAAAGAGAGAGATCCAGATCTAAGTGTCTTGGGATGTTTAAGAAATTTTGACTATGAAAGGGGTCTGGAAGTTTTCTCTTGGCATCGACAACTTAGCAAACTTTGCATATACTGAAACTTCGGGAGAACACTGCTAGAAAGAAAAGAACTCCTAAATTTGCCATGGAGCTACAGGAAGTGATGGACTAAAACTACAGCCAGTGACTATAGTACCAATTCAGAATGATATTGTTCATCTTTCACGGAAGTATCTTTGGTAAAGGTAGTTACAATTTTGTAATGCATAAGAAATCACGCTGACTTATATTGATATGAATACTACAGATTTGGCTGTCTTGTTTGCCCTAACTAGTATTTTTTTGCCTAATAAAATTCTGTAGCTCTGTAGACTTCTGAACTACATTTTTCTTAAACATTTGGCTTTCATGGAACTCTTTAATCAGCATAAATTTGACATAAGTTGATGAATTCATCAGGTTCTTAGGGATGGCTTGAATGGTCTGCTCTGTGCCTTACCAAGTATCTTAAAGAATGAAGGCCAAAGGACATCAGAACTAAGGTGGAGGCAGGTGAGATTTTCAAACCAGATCTGATAGGGTTTCCATGAGGGGGACGGGAGGACCTTAAACACCCAGCGTAGAATATCAGCTTCTTACCTTTTGTATCTTGGATAAAGTTTTGTGCTGACATAACCATGAAGTTTGCATAGGACAATGAGCTGCAGCACCTCACATCATTGCTTAGACCTGGCCCTCTATTTTTGGTCAATAATGAAAACCTAACTGCTGTCTTGGGCAACTAAATCATCTCATTAAGGTAGAACAGGAACTCTTTGGGGTCCCAGAAAGAGCTTGGAGGTGCTGACTCCGCCATGAAGACTATATTAAGATACTCTCCTTGGAAAGCAGCACTCCAGGTACAGACTGGCCACAGATTGCACTTGAGTGGCTGTGTTCTGGTCCAGTCATCAGCATCACCCCCACTGGCTAATAATCTACATCAAGCAAATGAAGGCTCTGGAAACCAAGCTATCATTGAAGAAGATGAAGGTCTGAAATGAACAGTTTCTCCAGACTCATTGGCTTTAAATGAAGCGCATCATTTTTAGGAGCATGCCACTGGAACCGCAAAATGCGGTGAGAGGAGGACGCTGGGAAGGTAAGCTGGCCTTGTATCAGCAAAGTTCCAGCAGGACTAGTCATCGCCCGTTTTGAAGGATCTTATCCCGCTCGGCTGGAACGACGCTTGGGCGCGAAGCCGCTTCGAAGAGCACGGCTCCCTCCTCCTCCCCGCGCTGCAGCACGCGCCTGCCGCGCGCCCTCGAGGGGGTC